TGTGATATATGAGTTGGCAGTTGATACCAAGGTACCAGGTTATTTGGAGTGAATTTTACAGGCTAAAAATCAATGCGAAGAGAAATACTTGAAACCATTCAAGAATAGGATGATTTTGTTACAAAATATAGTGCATCTTGGATGCCACCTTAAGGGGTTAAGTCAGAAAGTTGCAAAATGACTTCATTATAAGGCTTTTCACCTGTAGGACACTTTCAAAGGTCTTCTGAGTGTTACTCAAGGCTCTTTTGGATGAGAGATGATGATGAAACATAGTCTATGAAAAGATCTGGAGTTGACTCAGAATACTTTCATATTTCATAAGTGGAGTGATTCTAATTTTCCTCAGAACAAAACTGCTGTATAGTAAGGTTCACATTGCACTCTCTCCAATAAAAGTGGTCTATTTGATGTTACAAAATCTCCTTCTCCTGCAACTCAACACACAGGTCAGAACTCCCTCCAGTTATATTATTAATGATAGTTCTTAATCTTCTTTCTTGAGATATATAACCACACAACCAATTATTTTATTATGGTAAAACATCTAGAAATCTGACCTACTCTTATCATGCTTCCATAGAAACTGTCTACAAGAGTCTAACACTACGTATCAACCATGAGTTGTTTGTTTTGACTAAAACAAAGAAACCTGTGATTTTTGAAGCTGTGTAAGTGACGTACAAATATTACTAGTCATTTTCAATATTTTGGATCTTTATGACTGGCACTAAACCTCATGCTCACTAGTCACTAGTCAAGTCTGCTGTGAAATGTCATTAAACAGCACAAGTGCTTTGGAGAAATAAAAGCTAGATATAATCTATGTGCATGAAATACCAATTTCTAAATTGGTATTCTTTGTTGTTGTTGTTGTTGTTAAGTATTCTTTAGATGGCCCTAAATTCTAAACTAATGACAGGGCCATCTAAAGAATCCTTCCTTTTTCACTCCATTATACCAAGACTGAACAATTCTGAAGAATTTCTGACAGTGCATGAAGACAGTCCCTTTGTAATCAGAAACCCTAACTTTGGAGTTGAAAGTCAATTTCTGAAATAAACAGACGAAAAAAAGAGGAACAAATTATTTCAGCCAGTCTATGGTGAGAGAGTCTTGGTGTGGTATTGTGGGCTGCGCTGGACAGAAAAATTTGTTTGAACCTCAAGGTTGGCAGTTCAACGTCACCAACCACTACTCAGAAACCCTATACAGGTTCACTATGGGTCAGAACTGACTCGACGGCACTTAACAGCACCATTATGTGATAAATATAACACATACTTAAAAATCTTACTTACAACTGAACAAAAACACTGGAAGTGCCAAGAAATTAAGCTGAACTGAAAAGATATACACACCTGAAGCAAATTTCAAGCCACGATTTAGAAGACATCACAATGCCATATTAAATCGCAAACTTAATGTTTTTTCTCCCCAACTCCTCAAAAGTAAACTACTGCTAGTTTAAATTAAACTGTACATTTAAAAACCATTAAACTAGAATGAATTTGTTGTTTTGTTAGGTGCCATTGAGTCGGTACTGACTCATAATAGCCACCCTATGCACAAGAGAATGAAACACTGCCCAGTCCTTGGCCAACCTCACAATTGCTACGCTTGAGCCCATTGATGCTGCCACTTTGCTAATCCATCTCACTAGGGGTCTTCCTCTTTTTTTCTGACCCTCCACCTTACCAAACATGGTATCCTTCTTCACTGACTGGTTACTCCTGACAAAATACCTGAAGTATAAGGCCTTCAAGGAGCACTCTGGCTGTGAACTAGCCACATCAAAATATTTCCTCTGCCTTTTCAATAGTTATACTATAAACTCAAGACACAAAGAACCTTGTAGGGTAATGGATTATGAGCTGGGCTGCCATCTGCATGGACAGCAGTTTGAATCTACCAGTTACTCTGAAGGAGAAAGATGAGGCTTTCTGCTCCCGTAAAGATTCATAACCTTGGAAACCCTATACAGGGTCACTATGAGTCAGGACCAACTTTACGGCACATAACCCCCACCACCACTGAAGATACAAGAATCTTTTTAGTCACTTTAATAAATAAAACATTCTGTGTCTCAGAGAAATGAAACTTTACATTTCATAAAATGTTCTAAAATAGCTTCCGTTATTAAGTATAATTAAATTTAGTCATAAGTTTTGAGAAACTGAATAAACCACTAATTTAAATGCCTTTTGATTAATACTTCTTGTTTTAAGCAGAGTATATGTTATATACCTCTTTTTGCCTAGTACCAAAAAAAAAAAAACAAAAAAAATTTAAGCAGATTGAAACATTAATTCATTTATTTTTCTTTTAGAAATAATGAACTCATCAAGGGAAATGTGTCCTAATAATATACGTTCTTAATGAAAACTTAGATTTACCAGAAGTGGAAAGAAAAGGATATGTATTAGGGCATCAGAATGGGAATTAGTATAAAAATGAAATTTTGAGACATCAGTTTGTTATTCAAATTGACACTGCATCAGCAAACAGAAGCATTTAAATTCATTTTCCAGCCCACTTAGTAAATCTAGATCCAGTTAGAGTATCTTTAATGTGCAAAATCGCAGTGGAAGCAAGTGTTCACCAAGCAAGACACAGATAGGATTCCCTTAACCTACTGCCCTCTAGACACATCACTCTCTGTTAAACAGGCAGCCACCGCCAGATGCTCAGGCTAAAGATGGTCACAGATGGTCAGTTGTCCACTTAACAGAACATACTGCCCTTCCAATACTAAAGAGTAAGAAGGGAAGTGGTGAGAACTGTTAACACTTGCTTTCTTTAGTGGATTAAACACATTTGCTTGCTATACGCTTAACTAAGCCCACAACAGACTTTCTATATAAGGAAGACTAGAACCCAAGTGGTCTCAAGATTAAAACTCCTTCGAAGTGATCTAGTGAATAGCTGTACAATGTGTGAATCCACATAACTGTATCCCTTGCCAGCTAGCTGTTCAGGCTCTGATTCCTTGGCAACTCCAGGGGTGTGGAATGTGCTGTCCAACAAGAACATGCCCACATCTGAGAGCATCTTAAACTGAAATATAACAATGGAATTATGTTATAAGCATGGTATATTGACTACATCAAAATAATTTTCCAGTTTATGCATTATAAAATGCTTTTAATCTGAGTTGTCCCCAAAAATCTACACAAAGGATTTTTTATGGCATAAAACCAAAGTTATTTGTATGCATGATTTCTTTTTAAAGCATAAGAAAAAAATAATGGTTTAATAGTTTTGAAATCTATGATGGCACTTTAAGAAGTCAGTGAAAAATTATCTTGTCATTCTATTTTCCCACAAACTTTTGAAGCTCCCTTGCATTATATAAAGATTTAAAAAGTTTTAACAAAGGTCAAGAACAAAGGTCCTTTTTATACATACACAATTGTAGGAAATATTTTTTAATTGACAAAGATATAATAAAATCTAAACTTCACAAGCATGACATTTTGTTTCTAACATTTTATCCGTTTATAAAATGTGTGCAAGCATAAATATTTATATACACAAATATAAAAATGCATTCTACCTATTTAATTTCCTTAACAGCAAGGAAAGATTGGAAATAGTGAGTTTCACCTATTATTCTTCATCAGTAATTGTTCAAAATTCTGTTTCTTACTTGATACTGAGTAAAATTTTCTAGAATTAATGATATGAATATGGGTGGACACAATGAGAAGGCCATGCTAGACATAAATGCTGCTGACTCTGTTGACAATATGTTGAAGTAAATAAGTCATCTTAGAATATCTGTGTTTAAGGAAGGTAAACATGAAACACGTAGAACAACTTGTCATTATTTATAAAGACATGAGACAAAGATCAACATTGATTGCAAATTAAGTCAGAAAACAAGATTATAAGCAAAACACCCAACAGAAAATAATGGCAAAGACCTGGAGGATTGGGTGCTATGTCCCTGCATCTGAAAACACCCATTCCTACCACAAATTCTTACTATGTAGGAGCCAGTTTTAATGCTGCTCCCACACCCTGGGCTACTGTGAAGCCAGGGCAGTCAATGGAGCATCACACAGTGGAACCACCATGCTTCTTACCTTTTCTCACCTCCCAAGGGCAGTCTGTGAAAGGGAAAGTCAAATGACTGTAAAATTACAGCATGTGCCAAAGGTGCCAAAACCATTCACTGGGTATTTGGTTGGCAATCATCATAATAAGTTAGTGCCTTATTTTCAAGGGTCAGAATCTAGTCATGAGCAACCATTAGTTAAGTATGCACTTTACATCTTGATAAGTATATCTATTTACATCCATATATCCATTTTAGAAATAATTTACTTTCTAAAATTCTTTCAAACTGAAAACTAAATAAGATTAGGGAATAAAACAGTGTCTTTCCACACTCTTATTAACCCAAACACAATGTTGGAGGAGTACTTTTTCTTTAGTGTTCCTAGGTTATTGTTGTTAAGTGTCATCAAGTAGATTCTGACTCATAAGTAACCCTGTGTATGGTTTCCAAGAAGAGCCTGGTGGGCTTGAACCACTGACCTTGTGGTTAGCAGTCCAGTTCTTATTCTATAGTGCCATACAGTTACTTGGGTTCTGTGTAAGAGTATAACTTTAACACATATAAAGTAATACAGCTTCAGGTGACTTAATTGTTGATCGTTATCCTTATAACAAACATTTGGTGATATAGCCTTATAATTAACATTCACTACAATCACAAATAAGGAGTTCACTTTGACAGAAGTCAACACTAGAAAGGAAAGCAGATGCCCAGAGCTGGAGCAAAGATGGAAAGATAGCACAACTGGTATTTTGCCAGTCTACTCACAACAGTGAGTCAAAGTCCAGCCACTGACTAAAGCAATAGGAGATACACAGTGATGCATCCTTTCCTTTTCACCATCAAGTCAGATCTTCTGCCCTAGATTTAGTAACCCTTCCTCCAATTGGTCAGAGAGGATGGGCAAGAAAGGAAAGGACCGTGCAGGCTCACTCACCTAAACCGCTGAGTGTGTAGAGCAGGTCCCCAGCTTCTAAGAAGATGGGTCCGTGCTCTTGCTGCCCTTCTTCTTTGTAGTACAGCTTATAGCCCTGGATGGTCGCTGTGTCCTCGGCTCCCCGCTGCCACTTCACAGAAATGGTTGTACAGTTCAGAGGCTCCAAATGTAACTCTGGAGACTTCGGGGCTAGGAAAGTTCACATGGAAACATTAGTGTAAATTTCTCAGCCTAAACCCAACTGTTGTGTTTTTTTTTTTAAATCCAATCCCAACAATAATATTTTAAGCCAATTTTCAAAATTTCACAATATTAACCTGTGAGAAAAATTTAAAAATACAAAATATTACCTTCAAAAACAGCTAAGATACATAAATAACAACAAAATATCAACTATATCTGTATTTTAAATTCTTTTTCAAAGAGGCAATTTGGTGTTGTTGTTAAGTGCCATCAAACTGATTCTGACCCACAGCAACCCTGCATAGGGTTTCCAAGGAGCAGCTGGTGAGCTTGAACCTGCCAACCGGCGGTTCAAACCTCAGTCCAGCGCATTAACCTACAGCATCACACCAGGACTTCAAAAGAGGCAATAGCTTCTTCAAATTTTGACCATCATAGACTATCATCTATGATAGAGAGAGGACAGACATTATTAATCAACAAACTAAACAACTTCCAGATGGTTGTTACATTCCACATAAGAAAGAAGAGTCGAGAACTTCCTAGTCTTTCTACTGAAGTGATTAATTACAAAATATGTTAACTATATTAATTGTTGTTGTTAAGTGCTGTCGAGTCAGATCCGACTCAAAGCGATCCTGTATAGGATTTCTGAGGAGCAGATGGTGGGTTTGAACTGCTGACTTTGTGGTTCGAAGTTCCATGTTGATCCTACAGCACCACACCATTAAACCTCTACTAATATATGGTGGTGGTGTGCTGTGGAGTCGATTCTGACTCATAGCAACCTTGTATAGCATTTTCGAGGCTGTAAATCTTTACGGGAGCAGAAACCCTATCGTTCTCCTGCGGAACGGATGGTAGTTTCAAACTGCTGACCTTGAGGTTAGCAGCCCAACTCATAACCACTACACCACCAGAGCACCTTCAACTAATAAATAAGTTTTGGTAATTCAGTTTGATTTGGATTAATCTATCCATGAGGGACTTGTTAGACAAACCAATAATGTAACTAATGTGCTCTAAGCAAAAAATTGCTTTTTGTTCAGCGTCATTGAGTGATTCATAGCAATCCTGCATTGGGTTTCCAAGGAGTAGTTAGTGAGCTTGAACGTTTGACCTTGCAGCTCAAACCAACCTTGCAGTCCAGTGCATTAACCCGTAACACCACACCAGGACTCTGAAAAGGTGCTACTAGATAAGAAGTCTTTTAAACTTTTCAATTAATAGCACTATCTGTGGACCATTTTTATTTATAAAACAAAATTCAAGAATATATGCATAGTTGGGGACTTTAGACACAGAGGGAAAGGGGCTGTGTGCTGACGACCGGGGGGGGGGGGGGGCAGGCTTGTAGTGTTTACCCTTTGATGATGCATGGAGAGGATTGTAACCATGGCAATGAAAAAATATACAATAGGATGAATGTAAAACTAGTGTTCTCCCATGTAAACTATTACATACTTCACAATAAAACATTAAAAAAAAAAAAGAATATAAGCATAACTTTGGAAAATTGTAATTCAAAAATAAAAAAGCCCTGCAAATTCTTCCCCAACAGTGTTTAGAGGATTACCTTTCACACTTGTAGCTTTGGGTGTCCTGTGTGAAGTCCAAACTGAAGCTTCACCCAGCCCTACTCTGGTGGCAGCAGTAATCCGGACCAGGTAGATGCTGTCAGGTTTCAGACCCTCCAAAAGGTACTCATGTGTGGTCCCTGGGAGCTCTAGAACCTGGATGGAGTTCTCAGTACTTAGGCGGAAGGACAGGCGATACAGCACCACTTCACCCCGCCGATATTTTGCTGGAATTGGCAGCCAGGAGATGAGAATATCTGTGGGACTTCGACTTGTCAAACTAATTTCAGGAGGTCTCAGGGGAACTAGTCATATAAGGAAACAGGGTTGTTTAAAAACATTTAGAAACCAAAGTTGCCCCTTAGTACAACAGCATTTATTGAATTCTCTTAATGGCAATACATAACAGAGAGAGCTCTGGTAGCGTAGTGGTTACTAATCGGGCTGCAAACCTGAAGGTCAGCAGTTCGAAACTACCAGCAGCTCCGCGGGAGAAAGATGAGGCTTTCTACTCCCGTAAAGATTTACACCCTCAGAAACCTTGTACAGGGTCGCTATGGGTCGGAGCCGACTCGACGGCACTTAACAACAACAACAACATTTTTAGCTAGCAGAGGTTTTCAGCCTCAAAGCGCAATCAGAACACAAAGGAACAATAATGAGGGGAGAATCTACGATAGAGAACCCAAGAAAGCAAGGTTTTCATTCCAAAAGTCTATGAAAATACTTAACACTCATACATAATCTGAGAATATTCTTCAAATAGTCCCACCAATCTGAGAATATTTTTCAAATAGTTCCACCAAGGGACCTTTGCAGTGAAGAAAAGTGGCTTATAATTAAGGGTGGGAAGGCCTAGAAAGCTAGGAATGTAAGCTGCAAACAGCGTCTTAAAGTGTAAAAGTTGCATCTTAAAAATTAATGTTGTTTTACATTACATATTGTAACATATGATGTTTAATATAAAAACAAAGACTTTCCTCGAGATACTGTGAATGAAATTGGCGCTCCAGGAAAATGAGTCTAATATCCAAGTGTATCCAAGTGTACAGTCCAATATTAAGAGACAGGGCTTGGGTTCTAGAGGTAGGCTTTTGGGGCCTGAATCCTTGTTCTACCACTTATTACTGTGTGTGACTTTGGTCGAATTACTTAACTTCTCTGTGTACTTGTTTCTTCAAATACAAAATGGGGATAATAATGACAGCTCCCCCCACAGTCCTTCTCACTTCCATTTATGGCCATACCATTTGTCCAACTGTTCAAGTCAAAAACCTTGGTGTCCTCCGTGACCCCTCTTTTCCACTTACATACACCCCACACTCAATCCTATGGCTCTATCACTTCCATTACCATGCTTCTTAGTCCTTGCCACCATCATGTACATCCTGTATGTTTGCAACAGCTTCCCAACAGGCTTCCCTGTTTCTGCCTTTGTCTCTACCAACTATTCTCAACACATTAGCCTGTTGAATGAAGTTGGGTCTTGTTACTTTTCTCAACATAGCTCCCTGTGTCACTCAAAGTGAAAGTCAAAGTACTGATTACGGATTTATACAATGCCCTGTCTGCCTATATAGTTGGCTCCTCATTACTTCTTTGCCTCATCCCTACAGCTCTCTCCTTGTTTCCCCCAGTTGGGCTTCTCCTTCAACTCCTTAGCAATTCCCCTTTCCTTTGCCTAAAATACACTACCTCAGCCATCTGCCTCGCCAGCTCCCTCAGCTTCATTTCCTTCAGGTCTTCATACAATGTGACCTACTAAGTAAGTGCCACCTAATGGCTGTATCATCTCCTTCCTGATTTTTCCTTCTCCTCAGCACTTCTCACTGTCTAACATAGTATATGATTTACTGTTTATCTTTTAGGTTATTTCTTCATCTCCTCCCATACTAGATATAAGCTCCACAAGGTCAGGGAAATGTTTTTTTTGTCTGTTTTGTTCACTACTAAATATTGAGTAGCACACAGCAGGTATTGAATACATTTTGCTGAATAAATGAAACAATGAGTAGATAAGAAAAAAAATGTATTAAGCACTTCTGGGTTTGTCATGTTTATGAACTCATTTCCACAAAACCTAACGAGGTGTTCTTACATTAGGGAACTGCAACTAAAAGAAAAAAAAAAATCTAATGAGGGATGTATCAATATTATTTCTATTTTATAGCTGAAGAAACAGAGGTATAAAGAAGTTAAGCAGTTTACCCAAGGCCACACAGCTAGAAAGTGAAAAGGTAAATGTACAGAGACTAGACAGCCTGTGCTCTCCTGCACTGTACTGCTTCTTGTAAAATGATGTGGTTTTTTTCATAGGGTTACGTAAGGATGAAATGGGATGATTCAGGCGAGGTGTTTAGAAAAGCCGTTAAATAAACGCTCCACAAATGTTAGCTGAATTGGTGGTATACAACGGTGCACTCCAGTAAACCCACACATATCAGTTTGAAAAATATGGGCTTAGGAAAAGGGAGAGATGATGTAAACATCTGAAAAGCTTATCAGAAGGTTTGTATGTCATACAGAACACAATGAAGCTTTATTTAAAAAAGAAAACTGCAGAGTAAGGAAAGGATTTGTTATTGTTAAGTACCATCGAATTAATTATTACTCATAAAGACCCTGTAAAGGGTTTCTGAGGAGCAGCTGGTGGGTTTGAACTGCCGATTTTGTGGTTAGCAGTCCAGTGCTGATCCTACAGCACCACACCAGGAAAGGGTTGAAGGAGGAAAAGACACTGACATCTTAACTCTGCTGGAACTGGCCAGTTTTCATGCGGACCTTGCTATCCTTACACTTTTTTCAGAGATGTAGAGGTGGATACACCTCACATAAAAAAAAAAAAAAACCTATCAACTTGTTTCTTCTTAGATAACATATTGGTGGTGGCTGTGTGTTGCTGAATTGGTTCCTACTCACAGCGACTCGGTATAGGGTTTCTGAGGTTGTAAATCTTTATGGGAGCAAAAAGCCTCATCTTTCCTCTGAGGAAATACTGGTAGATTCGAACTAGTACTGACCTAGCAGTTTAGCAACCCAGCTCATAATACACTATGTTACCAGGGCTCCTTGACAGACAGATTGTTGCTGTTGCTGAGTGTTGTCGAGTTAGTTCGAACCCACAGCGACCCTGTACAAGGTTTCTGAGGAGCAGCTGGTTCTGACCCACAGTGACCCTGTACAAGGTTTCGAAGGAGCAGCTGGCAGGTCTGAATAAGATAACCAAAGTTATCACTATGGCTCACTTGAAAATGAAGCAGACTTTAAAAACTAAAATTTAAAATTTGATATTTGGAGAACTGGTAATTAAAAAAAAAAATTGAGTCAAACTTGGAATTTATTAATAGCCAAATAAATGGCACAATAGAGATCTAAGTAAAAGACCTGGAACCATTAAAAAAAAAAAAAAAGGGTGTTTTGAAAACTAAAAGGCAGACCATTTCCCAACTATACGAAAACAACTGTGAAGAGAGAATAGTATATTTAAGCATATGTTAATCCCATTTTTATGTAGAACACAAATATGGGTCTTCTAGACCCCCTAAAAAGTGAGATTCCCCCATTTTTACAATGTAAGAAGAGTCTGACGGGGAAGAATCAGTTCTTTAAAGTCTCTTAAGGAATAGATTGTCCCACCATTTATAAAAGTATATGAAGTACTGCCCTCGAAAGGACAACTCAATTTCTAACCTGTGGTCATGGGAGAAATTGAACAAGTAATAATTTCCTCATTAAGTAAAATAACCATAATGAATCTAAAAAAAAAAAAAAAAAAATCCAAATTGCTATGTGATTTCCTTAGAATTCTTTTTAAATCAATAGATACTCAAACATCATAAACCCCCAGTTTCAGAAGTTCAAAACCTCTAATGGCTAGACTTTTGGAAGAATCAGTATGAACAGTCAGTATGTAAATTAATTCCATTCATTCATGATTAGAGAATCTAACATTTTGTTCTATCTATTAAAATATTTCCAATGTCTTTACAATTTAAACTGGAAACCTCTGGGGGAAAAATACAATGACAATATAAGAATTTCATTATCAAAATTTATACTGTGAATTACAAATAAAAGTGTTCTTTATCCTTCTTACGCTACTGTGAAAACACAGAATCTGATTTGAAATGGCTTGAAATTACTCTGCTGTAGAAAATACATCTGTTTTTAAATAAACGGGATAGTTTCTCTAATTTAAAACACACTTCTGTATTGAAAAATGATTAAACATACAGATGTTCATACTTAAATGGTCTAGAATCATGTTTTCTTACCATCCTCTAGAGTATTCTGAGTCACATGTGCAGACATCTGACTGGCTCCCATTGGCATATATGCCACGATGTAGAAAGTATAATTGCTGGCAGGTTCTAAGTCATCAATAATATAATGAGTTGTGTCATTGCCGATGACTACTTGGTACTCTTCATTATTTAAGCCTAGATTAAACAATCACAAATTATAACGATTTAAAATAAAATTTAAAAGACCATCTTTCCTTACTGTGAAACACTGGTCTTTTGTGTCTAACACTGACCTGTTACTTTTATTGGAGCTGTTGTTGCCACAGAGTCAATTCCAACTCACAGAGACCCTACGTGACTGGCACAACTGACCCATAGGGGTTTTTACCTTGAGTGATTCTTTAAAAATGCAAATGTTGTGGCTGTTGTGTACCATGGAGTCGGTTCCGACTCATATTGACCCTGCATAGGGTTTCTTAGAACCAGTGGTGGGTTTGAACTGCTGACCTTGCAGTTAGCAGTTCAGTGCTTATCCTACAGTACCACACCAGGGCTCAAAACAAATAAACAAACAAACAATCAAATGGAGTTTTTGTTTTCTAAAAGTAACCATGTCTTGCCACAAATAAGTAATTTATAGTTTTCCTAACTAAATTTATCTGAGAAATAATCTTTAAACCTCATTTATCATGTAGTCGATAGACATAGCAGCAACACGATTGTTGTTTTCAGTTATTGGTACGTAGGTTCTGACTCTTAGAGACCCTATGTACAATGAACAAAATGCTGTCTGTGCCATTCACATAGTTGTTACGTTTAAGGCCAGTGGTGTCACTATGCCAGTCTATCTTGTTGAGGGTTGTCTTCCTCTTTTCTGTTGACCCTTCACTTTACCAGGCATGATAATCTTCTCCAGGGACTGGTCCTTCTTGATAACAAATCTAAAGTACAAGAGACTGAATCTCTCAATTGCCCCTTCAAAGGAGCAATCTGACCATACTTCTTCCAAAACAGATTTGTTCGTTCTTCTGGAAGTCCATGGGATATTCAATATTCTTCGTCAGTGCCATATCAAATGTACTGATTCTTCTTAGGTCTCATCTATTTATTATCCAGTTTTCTCATGCATATAAGGTGACTTAGGTCAGGTATACCTTAGTCCTCAAAGTGGCATCTGTGTTCTTTAACATGTTAAAGAGGTCTTTTATAGCAGATTTGCCTAGGGATTGACTAAAATTTGACTGCTGCTTCCATGAGTGTTAATTGTGGATCTGAGTTAAATGAAGTCTTTGACAACGTCTATCTTTCCTCTGTTTATCATGATGTTATTTACTGGGTAAAGTTGTGAGGATTTTTGTTTTCTTTACAATGAGGTATAATCTATCCACAATGGAATACTGTAATTCATAACAGTGTAAATTTTACTTGCTTAAACTCATGACTTATTTTTTTTTTTCTTTTAAACATAAATGGAGAGAAAGTAGGGAATGTAATGGCACAACTCTCTACAAAAACAAACCAAACCAAAAGTTGTCCTGCAAAAGATCTCATTTTGCCCCCAGAGATTCTATTAAATTTGACGGACAGAAGTTGTTCTTTTATTTACATTGAAAGCAAAAGAACTGGGAGGCACAGAATGTACTGCAAAATGCTTCATCCCACAATGAGCTTTTCTTTTTTAAATGGGGGTGGGGGGGGGGAAATCTCAGCAATTCTTAATAAAATATGCATGGCAAGGTACAGAAGAGGATTTGTCTTTGTGGGATTTAATTCCTACAGAGAGAACCTGTAAAGTGGAACAAGAGCATTGGCAGCTACTGTGCTTTGCTAACAATTCACAGTAAATGCATGTCAACTTAATCAAAACTCTCTCAGGACAGAGCCCCTTTTCACAACTGGATTGATAAACAAAACAGAAGGCAAATTCCACTATTAAGTTTTCCCACATTTCTGAATTAACTTGATAGCATTTTAATTAGACAAGATTACAGGCATTTCACAACAGACTGGCTAATGGCTTGTTAATTAGGAACTGCATAGTACGATTTCTGACCTACCAAACAAGGTCCTTGAGTTCGAATTAAAAAGGCTTGTTCTGTGCCTGAATAGACCACTGAGTCACATGTGGAGGCTCTAATGAAACAACCATAATAGGGAACAAGAGTGGTTTCCACCAAAACCAGCATTCCTTTTACCTTCTTAAATCACTAAGAAGGGAATTACCATAGTCCACCATGCTCAGTTATCAGACTTGCATTCTTCTGGCTCCCATGACCCCTTATTGAAATTCAAAATATTCCTTTTCAAAAGACTACTTCAAAGTGCAAAAAACAGGCAACAACAAACCACCTGTTTCTTCAGTCAGTTTTATAGTATAATCATTCTTTGGATGTTTGTTTTTACCGTATACTGCATATAAGCTAGGCTGTTTGCATGCAGAACTAAACTTAGTAAACCTCTACTATGGTTTCTATGAGAGATAAAGAGAAAAATACCTAGGACTTAGAGGTGGTATTTGTTTTTCTTCTAAGATTTCATTCTAAAACAAAATATAAGGAGATAAATTGGATTCTAAAAATGGAACCAATAACCTGGAATGAAAATTGTAAGACAGATCTGATTTCTACTTTTATGTAAGAAATATAAGCTATCAATAAAAAAGCATTCAGTTCAATTTTCAAAGAGTTCTACATTAGTTTCCAATAACATTCAAAATATGCAGGTTTGGCAATGTTTATTTTCCCACTTAAATATAAAATTCTACGATAACTATAGTTTATTATTTTACTAAACTTAGTTACACCACTGTTCTCTGTAATGACATACTTAAATTGGTATATTACATTTTAAATAATACATATCTTGTTTGGCATTACTTCTTCAGTAACACCACTTTGTAGTTTCAAGCAGGTGTTCATTTGTAAAAGCAGAAAAATCTTGAACTATAAGTATACATATAAGGTATACAATAATACAAAGTTTACTCTAAAACATGAATACACAGGTGATAAATTAAGAGATAAATGTCACAGAATTTCAAAAATATCTTTGTCAGATATCATTTATACTGAAGACAAATCCTTGACAGCAAGTGGTACTTAAAAATAAAGAACCTGGAAACTGCTTACCTTCTGCTTTCATGTAGTGCACAGAATAAGCGATGACTTTGTCTGAATTATAAAGTGGCCTCTCCCAGGCTAAAAGGATGGCTGAACTTGACATGGTTTCAGCGTGCACGTTATAGGGAGCACTGGGTCTGTCTTCTGACATTACTACTGTCAGTCTGGCTCTAGATAAAATAGATCCTTGGCTATTCTCAGCCATGCACTGATAAATAGCATCATCTTCAGGAATAATCTGGTTTATTACCAATTTACTGAAGAAAGAAAGAAAGAAAATTCTATGAAGCATTCTAAGAATAACACTTAAGTAAGCTTAGCTACTGTTAAGTGTAAGACCAGCAGTTCAAATCTACCAGCTAGCTGCTCTTTAGGACTAGGAGGAAGCTTTCTGCTCCTGTAAAGATTTGTTGTTGTTGTTGTGAAGTGCGGTTGAGTCGGTTCTGACCCTTAGTGATCCTGTGTAAGGTTTCCGAGGAGCAGCTGGTGAGCTTGAACCACCAGCCTTGCAGTTCAAACGGCTTTTCAGTCTGGCTCATTAACCTTCAGTGCCATACCAGGACTGTAAAGATTTTCAGCCTCAGAAATCCTATATAGGGTTGCTATGAGTCAGAATTGACTGATGGCAATGGGTTTGGTTTGGGTTTACTGTTAAATACGCTCCTATTTTAAATGACAAAAATCACTGAGAACAAAAACTATAATTAGCCCCAAATGAAAAATATCCTATATTAATTATTTAAAATAATTCAACAATTTTTTGGAGTCTACGTAAGAGACCGGGTGTGGTGCTATAGGTTGATGTGCTGGACTGCAAGGTTGGTAGTTCAAGCTCGCCAGTCACTCCCTGGAAACTCTATACAGAGTCGCTGTGGGTTGGAGCCGACTCAACGGCATTTAACAACAACAACAACAACAACATACCAAGCGTCAGTTATTTGTGATGACCAAATACCCAGGACGGGGCAGTGTTCCGTTCTGTTGTGCACAGGGTCGCTAAGAGTTGGTACCGACTCGATGGCACCTAATAACAACAACATCCTCCTACAGGTGACAGTTTAAGCTCTTTTTAACATGTTGGCTTTTTAAGGAAAGTATAGTGCTTTGTAACAGCACGTAACTTATATATTACAATTTACACATAAAATTAGGGTCAACAAAAATTTTAAAGTCTTGTTCAATCAACATAAATGAGAATGTTTATAAGAAAATTCATACTTAATGCCGTAACAATAGTCCTCAAAACCATTGTTTGAATTATAGAAGGTTTCTTAGAGAATCAACTATTTTCTTCCTATTTCCTCATTTTATGGAATTCTGGTGTGGCACTGTAGAATAAAGCACTGAATTGCAAAGTCGATATGAAATGCAAGGTTGGTGGTTCAAACCCATCAGTCACTCCTCGCAAACCCTGTATAGCTTGCTATGAGTCAGAAGTGACTCAACGGCACTTCACAACATGGTGACTTAATGACTTACCAAGACTAGAACTTAGGTTTGAGGAACTGGTCAATATTCACTTCAATACAGTCTACAACTTCTATGATCCATTTGAAAACAACAAAATAATTTATAAGCTAATGTTATAAATTTTAAGTTATCTATTCTATTTTAGTTTTATCTACCAAGAGCTCTGGTAGTGTAGTGGTTACGAATCAGGCTGCAAACCTTAAGGCCAGCAGTTCGAAACTACCAGCCGCTCTGCGGGAGAAAGATGAGGCGTTCTGCTCCCGTAAAGATTTACAGCCTCAGAAACCCTGTACAGGGTTGCTATGGGTCGGAACCGACTCGATGGCACTTAACAACAACAACAACTAAGATAATTGGGGTATTTGCATTAGTACCATAACAATTTCACTTAAAAATTCCTAAGACCATTATACTTTATGTAAAATAATAACAAAATGACACAACCCACCTGTTGTACATTTTAATTCTCCCATTTGAATGTATCTTCCTTCCATTTTTTAACCATGACATTTTGGGTGAAGGGATTCCTTCTGCTTGACATACAAACCGAGCAGTACCAGCTCGAGGCCTTGTTAAACTTTCTGGCCACTCAACAAATGAAGGAGGAGCTATATTTTAAGGAAACAAAAGAAAAATATTTATTTCTGAGTTCCCAATAGGAATGATACAGAGTCAAGGATCAGTACAACAAATGGCACAAGTCCCAGACCAGAAGATCACAGGTACTCTGATTTTCCTGTTTACTATGTATGTCTACCTAGATACCTCTTCTCTGCCTTGTTTTGTTAGATATCCACTCCCCCTAGGCCTCTACTGCTGAGACCATCTATATAAACACACTAATAAATCTTACTTAACTAAGCCCAATTTATAACCACTTGTGAATACATATAGACAATCAATAAATCAGAAGTTTAAGATTGGTAAGTTTAAGATTGGATATATGCATTTGTATATGGGTTGTTATTGTTATTAAGTGAGTCAAATTTGATCCATAGCAATCCTGTATAGGGTTTCCAAGTAGCAGCTGGTGAGCCTGAACCGCCGACCTTGCAGTTCATATTGACTTTGTAGTCCAGCGCATTAACGCACAGCACCACACCAGGTAAACAGTAGATAAAAGGGAAGCTCATTTAGTAAGGAACATACTGGTATGCAGGCAGATAGGATGATGACAAGAGGAATCTATAGTTATATTTTAACATAGTGCTTTAATTTTCACCTAAAATTCATTTTGGGGTTACAAATCCTTCATATCACAGCAAGATTCACCTGATGGCAGAAAGAAAGAAAACATACCTAATACAGTTAAAGTCGCCATGGCAACTGTGAAGTTACGAGTGCCCGGGGTAGTAGCGCGACAAACATATACTCCAGCATGTTGCAGCCTGACATCAGCTATCATGAGATTACCATTTCCAAGCACCCGAGTATTAAAGACATCAATGGACTTGTGATCTATTGCAAAGAGAATATTTCAGTTAAAACAATGTAATAACATATGATCTCAATTTTTACGTCTAATCAATATAATCATGAAAACTAGGTAATTTTCCACATTGAAACTCTTCTTACACCATGTAATGTCAAAAAGCTAAAAGCTACTGAGTTGTTCAACAGGTGCTTTGTATGTAAAATAAACATTTTCCAGGTCTCACTAGAATAAACAAAAAAAAATTTAAGAAAAGTACCTTTTAAGATTTTTTTTTTTTCTGAGAAGACTTACCAAGACGGCTCCAAGAAATGATTGGTTTGGGATTTCCTGTGGCCATGCATTCCAAAACAACAGTCTGATGAAGAGAGGTTGTTATGTTCTGTGGACCTGCTATAATGGCAGGTGTGTGGAAGGGTTTAGACTCCTTAGCTGTATAGAGCAGAGTCAGATAAAGGAGACAGTATTTTAAAATAAAATTATCAAAACAACGAAAATAACTATAGTTATCATTCATGTTTAATTAAGATTCAAACATTCATTTAATAGTGCGGTGTTTTAGGATAAGCACAAGGTCAATTTGAACTGCAAGGCCAGTGGTTGAAACCCATTGTTAACTTGGGTGACAGGGAGGGCAATATACATGAAAGGTGAAAACAGGTGAAGACACAGGAGATAGTGGTAAATAGTGATAAAGACACAACCTAAGACAATGATACTCTGTGGGTAGACACATGGACAGAGAAACATGCTGAATGTTTCTGGGAAGAAGAGCAGAACGTGTGTATACATGCATGCATGTATATGTATGTGTGTGTATATATATACATATGTATGTATATATACACACACATTTATATGTTTTACAGATACACAAGAGTGTGAAAGAGGATATTTGTACATGAGTATTTACTTTTCTTGCAAACATCACTGTGAATGTGGTGGTGCACACAGTGGGAAAAATGCTGAAACCTTCTTAGATATTATCAAACATCTTAAGACAACGAGTAGTTCAGCTCAAAACCATACTCTCAGGGGCACCATGACAGAGAAGGAAAAATGCATGATAGTACTTTTATCTTTATTTTTAATATCAGATACTACTTAAAATAAAAATGTATCATTAAAAATATAACCTTACCTTTTATATTTTCTTTTTTTTTTTTACTTTTAAATATCTTTTAGGAAATAATAACTCATTAATAATAAACATGTGGGAAGCTCAACAGTGATTTTATTTAAAGTTTTCTTCCACTGTGTTCAAGTTAATTTAAATTTGCTTTAAAATAAAAGCTAACATCTATAAATGATCACATTTTAATAAAAACACGTATTTCTCTCTTTATATCCACTTATCTAACTAGCTTTCCTTCTAGCTATTCATAAATGATAAAATAGCTAATGTTCACTTAATGTTAGTAATAATAATTTCTGGATGCTGTGATTGAGGCTAGTATTTTTGAGCTTCTGTATTGTTTAAGTTCTTCATAACAAGCACGTATTGTTTTTACCAAAAGAAATAATGATGTTTCTTAAAATAACAAACTGGTCTATTGACAATAGACAACTATTATGTAAATAAGATGATAAGCTATCTCTTATACTTTTTTTTATTTTAAAAAATAAAATAGAAATATTTATTAAACAAACGTTCAACCATAATTAAAAATGTGGACATAATATATAACAAGTTAGCTATGAAACAAGAGTCTTCTTAATAAAGATAACTATTTTCCAAATGTTGTTGCTGTTATTGTTAAGTGCCATCAAGTCAGATCCAACCCATAGTGACCCTGTATAGGGTTTCCAAGGAGCAGCTGGTGAGCTTGAACCACTGACCTTGCAGTTCAAACGGCTTTGCAGTCTGGCACACTAGCCCACAGCGCCACACCAGGATAGATAACAATAATTTAAATGAAATTAAAATATTAACTTTGTGGTATACTATTACAGCCAAAGGAGAAAGAAAAATACAGATGGGTCAATAAAGAATAACAAAAACTGAAAAAGAAACTCCTTTGTGGTACCTGGAATCACTGTTAATGAGGCCTCCATACTTTTACGTCTGTGGGATACAGTACCAGCAACACAGCGGTAATTCCCAGCATCGTTTTGACCAACATCATAGATCTGCAATACCCCTGTTGGTAGGGCAGTTATCCTGTTAGGAGAAGCAATAAAATCAAAACTTTCTATAGTAAATTATATTAATTTAAAATACATGCTATAACATGAATTAATACACTCAGCTTTCAAAGGTACTAGATGTAATACTTTTAAGATCTAAGTTATTTGCTTGATTCTATTACTTTTATTTCAATTTCTACAGCTCTCTAAAACAAATAATTATGCAGTTTGTAGTTTATAAGATCAGTCAGTCTATTTTAGAATCTCATTTGACACTCTAGCTTACATGTGATTAATTGTTGGAGCACAGCTTAGTATGATTTTTTCAAATATCCAATTTCTTTCCTGTTGATATTGACATATTCTTCTATATATGCTTTTGTTTTTTCTTTAAAAAAAGAAAAAGAAAAACAAGCCAGTGCCTGATTAACTTCTAGACCAAGGCTCTATCATTTCATCCAATGATTTTTGCCTATCTACAGGAATTCTACTCATTATGACAGGAATATAACTTTTTAAAGTTGCTACTAAGTTTCTGATTACCATGCTCATAGCATGTTGTGCATACATGACTGATAGAGGCAGGGGGTTTAGAAATGAAAGGCAGAGATAGGAGTAGACAACTACTAGGGTTTACAGGGGAGACACCCTTACATCAGCATTACTATTCCCACTAATGAAGGTGCAATTTAGCTTCTTAAAACCCTGTTCGCCAAGTGGTCCTACTGGTGAAACAAATGATTGAGAAAACAAACAAAGCAATAGAGGAAAGGCTATTTGAATTCTGATTCGAATCTGAAACACTAGGACCCAGATAGTGCCGAGACTGATGATCTACTTCTTTGCTTAAATTTGTAATGGCTTAAGCAACTATTATGACTACCCTATAATAAGATGAGCTTTATAAAGCTCTTCCCTCATACAGTATCATGAGGTCTTTATCACTACTTATATACCATTCCCAGAGACAAAAATTATATTTACCTGTCCAGAGCTATAGGTAGAGTTGTCCGATTTAATTCCCATGTTATGACTGCAGGAGGGTTTGATGAAATCTTGCATGAAAATCTAGCAACTCCACCTTCATGAACCTCAGTAGAAATTGGCTGAACTTCAAATGCAGAAATAGCTATAATATAAAGTTGGACAAATTCAGAATATAAGACAACTATATTTGAAAACAACATTATGTGACATATTACTTGGGGAGTGTGGTGGCTCCATACGATAAACACTGGACTGCAAACCACAAGGTCTATGGTTCAAGTCCACTAGCTGCTCACTGGCAAAAAATGATGCTTTTTGCTCCCACAAAGATTTAAAGCCTCGGAAACCCTATATAGGGTCGCTACGAGTTGGAATCAACTTGAAGGCACTTAACAACAACAGCAACAAAAAAATATTTGAGCCACAGTGTGTACTGTCAGGTAAACACTGGACTGCTAACAGCAGGTCTGACGATTCAAACTCACTAGCTGCTCCTAGGAAACCCCATGAAGGGTCACTGTGAGTTGGAACTGACTTGATGGTATTTAACAACAACAGATATTGCTCATCAGACTTCAATTCCTGTCCAGACCCATGACCAATCCCAACTTAACTTCCATTCCTGCTGTCATTGAGTCAATTCCAGACACAACAGAAGTGCCTCACAGGGTTTCCAAGACTGTAAATCAGCCAATGTAGACTGCTACATCTTTTTCCTTTGGAACAGCTAGTGGGTTCAAATATTTGACCTTCGAGTTTTAGTTAGCAGTCTACCACTTAACCATTGAGCTAGTCAATTTAATTAGCACAAAGATAATTTAGGGAATAATTTAGAAAAACCACTGGGCAGATCCCCACCTCAAGGAGTCAAGTCTTTCCTAGAATGAAATTCTGAACAGTTTTTCATAAAACCATTTGTTTGGAGAGAAAAATTAACAAATAAAAATAACTAATAACTGCTTATTATTGTATATTAAACTGTGTGATACAAACTTCAAATGTTATGTTACTACAGTTTAGAGGAGGAAAACAAATCAATAAATATGGTTTAGTTAGGTAAAGACCAATTACAGGGATTGGTTTTGAATGGACTTTTGGAGACTACTCACTGGGTTTAGATGGGGGTCAGTTAGGACACCCCCAGTGAAAGGAATACTATGAAGGTGAGCACAGAAGAAATAGATACCCTATGCCCAAAGGACTGTGCAGAAATGGCCATAATTTAGAGCAGGGGTTTATGGGAAAGCAGTTGTAAAGTAGAAATGAAGTGGATTTATACCATGATACAAATTAAGGTGTCACTGAAGATTTTTTAGCAAAAGACTACTAGGAATAATGTCTTGGAAAAACTAATCAGGAGATACTACCAAACAAGACAGATTGCAGAAAAACTCAAGTCAAAAGCCCAACAACAAGTTGTTTTAATGGGAATGACAGAACTGAGTGTGAAAGGAGAGATTCTAGAGCCATTTAAAAGAAAACAAAGACTAGGTTCTTCTTCTTTTTGTGCCCCCTAAGCTTTTTATTGTGAATTGAGGGAAGTTTTATAAAGCAGGTCATCTAATAATACACTTGTTTCTTCTCAATTTCAATTCCCTCAATGTTAACATCACTTATTCCACTTCTTCCCTAAGTTTCCATTCTTTCCTCTTTCCCAAATCTTCTGAATTTTGTCCTTAGGTAAATGTTGCACTTTTGATCTCCAATGGTTGACCATTCTATGGTGTGTGCACCTCACTAATGTTGAAATCCTGATGTGGTGCTGCAGGATAATGCTCTGAATTGCAAGGTAAGTTTGAACCACAAGGTTGCAAGTTCAAAGTCACCAGCTGCTCCTCAGAAACCCTACACAGGGTCACTACAGGTCAGAACCGATTTGATGGCACTTAACAAGTATACCTATTTATTGCTTGACTGAAAATTGAGCCATGGGAGTGAGTTAAGTTCCAGACTTGAAGGGTGACCATGGGTCACATTCTCAGAGCTCTACCAGTCTCTATCTGACCAGTAAGCCTGGTCTTTTCATGATTTTGAGATTTACTCCACATTTTCTCCCACTCTACCCAAGATGTTTTCATGTGATCCCTTTCAGAACAGTTGATAGAAGTGGCCAGCACAATGTAGCTCTTCAGGGTCACGGAGACTAATGCTCACGTGTTCCATCAGTCCATTGGATTAATTGTTTCCAAGTTCCTTCAATTTTTATCACTCTTCTTTCCTCCAGATAGGGAAAGACCATATAGCTGCACCTTAGATAGCCACTCATGAGCTGTTAGGTTCTCAGTTGCTACACACCAAAGTAGGATGCAAAACATTGTCTTTGTGGACTATGTTATGCCCATTGGCCATGGTGACCCTCAAATCTATAGAAAAAACTAGGTATTTATTGGATACAGAGATACGTACTTTTCTGTATTTGTAATCAAATAAGGTTGATTACAAATGGAGCAGAATGAGAAAGGAAAGAGAAAAAAGAAATGGTGTATTTGATGCATAAAAGGTAGGGAAATTTTAGAGATTATTTTTAGGCTTATGTGTTTCCAAAGCAGAGATAAATCTTGATGTGTTGATATTTTCACTAGAGATAATTCTTCTCACTCTAAGCAAAACTTGTCTTTAGTGTTCATGTTTCTGCGCTTTGAAGGAATCCAGATTCCAGAGAATACAGTGGTTTGCCTCCCCTCTAAGAAACCATCCAGAATATTTTTAAAAGAACCTTACTTGTGGTCTAACAGCCGCTTCTCAGATTCTACATCAGAAAGTACAGATGCCTTCGCAGATTATCAGTAAAGAGATACTTATAAGTAAACGTAGAAAGAATGAAGTCTAGGCGAATTTATGCTTCATTAGAGAAGATGAACAAATTCTGTCCCAGATTTGCCACTATCAGTGTGTGGATGGATCACAGGCCTTTACAGGTACAGGACAAAGTTAGTGAATAATGGAGAAGATATTCTTAGAAGAATTTACTTGCAAAAAGAGTGGAATGCTATAAAGTAATTATTTGTGTAGGTAACAAAACTTTCTGCTTTCCCAAGAACAGGTGTTCTCTTATATACAACAAAAGAAAAAACAGATAAAATTGAATTTCAACAAAATACAAAACTTTTGTGGATGAAAGGACAAGCTAAATAAAGTGAAAAAATGTAAAACTTCATTAATTCACAGTAAAAAAAACTTAGGGGGAAAAAGTGACACAATAATCTACAGAATAATAGAAGATTTCTAGAAATCATATATTTGGCAAAGGTTTAATAGAATACATAACGAATGTTTACAACTTAGCACAAAGACAAATAACTATCAAAAAATGATTAAAGGACTTTACTTTTTTTTTTTTTTTTTTTTAACTTTGGGCTGTGGGTGTGGGTGTGGATGTGAGTGGGGGTGGGTAGGAATAAGGAGTTTGAGTTGGACTATGGCTAGGTGTAGGCAAGGCCTAGGACTTCATTTAGTGTTAGCGTTATGGTTAGGGCCAGGTCTAATGTTAGGGACTGGGCTATGGCTACAAATAAGGCTTGGTCTAGTTTTAGGGTTATAGCTAGGGTTTTTTTATTTTCTTGAAATCTACTTGATTTTCCCTTCATTGGGAAGTTCTGTAACGACATTATTATTCCCCTTTTTTACTTTATACTTTGGATGTTGTTGCAAACTAGCATCTTTGGTTTCCTATTTTCAGTCTTCTTAGGTTTGTTTTATGAATACTTTAAAATCTGGTGATATTGTAATGTATGTTAGCTTCAAGTTGTTGTCTGCTGGTGTTGGTTCTCTATTCAAATAACTCCCCTTAGTATTTTTTCTAAGGTTGGTCTGGTTTTTGCAAATTCTTTTAACTTCTGTTTATCTGGAAACATCCGAAATTTTCCATCATATGATATATATAGCCAATTTTGCTGGGTATGACTTTTGGTTGGCAATTTTCTTCTTGCAGAGGTTTACATGTGTCATTCCATTGTCTTCTTGCCTGCATGGTTTCTGCTGAGAAATCAAGTTTAGTCTTACTTGTTCTCCTTTGTAGGTAACTTTTCATTTTTTCTGAGCTGCTTTCAGGATTTTTTCCTTGTTTTGTTTTTGAAAAGTTTCATTATAATATGTCTTGGAACATACTATAAACCTGTTTGGAACTCCTATTTGGGGTTTAACCTCCTAAATGACTATCTTCTCATCTATTTTTAGGAAAGTTTTTTTTTCCAGCAACCCTTGGACAATTTTCTCTATGGTTTTATCTCTTACTGTTCTGGAACTCCAATGACATGTTAACTTATTCCTCTTTATCGTGTCCCACATAAATACTAGGCTTTTAGAAAATTTTAATTCTTTTTTCACATTGTTCCTCTCGAAGATGAGCGTTGAGAAATGTCTCCAAGTTTACGGATTTGTCCTTCCACTGATTACCTGTACTTTGTCCTTTCAATATATTATCTATTTCTGAAGTCTTTGTACTAAGCTTCTGCCTTTTTAATTGCTGTTTTTTGTTTGCTTGTTTTTAAGTTTTTATTGTGAGGTTTACATGGGAGAACATCAGCTTTACACTCATCCTATAGTATTTTGTTTCATTGCAATGGTTACAATCCACTCCATGCATCGTCAAATAACCAAAGGGTACACCACACAGGCCCACCGCCAGGCCGACAGCACACAGCCCTTCTCCATCGTCGAGTCCAGTGTCCCCATCTATCCGCATTATCATCTCTGTTTACCTGGCATCTCTGCCTCTTGGGGTAGGGTCCCGCTCTCCATGCTTCTCACTTGATGGTCCCAGTGACATCTGCTCCTGGGCTGCAAAATCAATCCTCTCCTCCTTTTGTCAAAAAACATCTACCACTATATTTCCTACCCTCACAGTCAGACTTGATGGCAATTATTCACTATTGTACCACAAGAGTCTTATCCCCATTTCCTTTCGCCAGTCCTGAGCACTTGCCTTGATGGTTCCTGGTCCCACAAGATTGGAAATCATTCAGTGGTGATTCTACCTTCCCGCGCCCCGTCTGGAACTAGGCTCCCTCTTGTTTGGAGGCCAGTCACTTCTTGCCTTTATAGCTCCCCCAATTTGGGTAGCCAATGTACCGAGGGGGTAGGAGTGATCCTCGCTGTTAAGATCTGTTCCCTTTTTTGAGCTGGTACATCTGTAAGCATAGG